GATAGACAAATAAATACAGAGGGCTATAGCAAAAACAATGACTTAAATTAACAGTTATGTTAAAAGTAGTAAGGTAAGTAGTAAGTAATAGTAAGTAATAGTAGAAAGTAGTAAGTAATAGTAGAAAGTAGTAAGGTAAAACATTTCTCTTTATTTTTACTCCAATATGTAGCAGTTTACAAAAATTTCTGAGTAAAGCATTAATTTCTTTGTGGTTTCTTTCTTTTTTACTATTTCCAGAGTTATGCATAGCATAAAAGAAACATTGAACTCATATTCATTAGATAGAATGGTTGTAATGTTATTTTGCAACTTGCAATGAATTTAAACAATACCTTGTTATAGATAATAGCTCTGCATGTTTTATTAGAACATTAACTGTGTTTGTAAGAGCTGAAAAAAGGAAAAATATCCATATGCAGAAGAAGGGGATGAATAAACCTCTGCTCTCCCTGCTGCAGACAGATCTACAGTCATTACACCAACATGTATCCTCAGCTGATAAAAGATGAACAGGTTTTGATCCCCTTGAAAAACTTTATGAGGTATGTTTGGTATAAAAGTATAAAATAATTGCAGTAATTCATAGCAGTAATGCATGGTGTTGAAAGTAAATAGCCTTCTCTGCTGTTCATTGAATGATCCCAAGCAAACAGGACAAATGGGCCAGAGAGCAGGTGACTCAGAGGAGAAACAGCGACCCCTTGTGGAATCATCTTGGACTGATCCTGGCCCAGCTGGATGGACTGCATGCTGGAGCTGTAGAATGGGCCAAAAGCAATCAAAGGGAGGTGTGTGTGTGAGTGATAGAGAGGACGTTAGAGGACTGTCACAGTATTAGTTCATTAATCCCTGCCATTTACTCTCCCCTTCCCTCCCAGCCTCTGCCGCTCTTTGCTCTCCAGTTCCTGAATGGTGTTGGCGACCTCCTGGACCTTGTCCCAGCTCTGACATCTCGCTCCAATTCCTCTGCAGGCGCAGCCACTTTCAGGAGGCCTGGAATGGGCCTCTGCACAGCTCTTATAAAGGTTAGGCCAAGCTCATTTGGCTCAAGCTGTGAGGGAAAGTTCAACAGGACTAATTGCTTTTATGAGGAAAGGGTCAGTCCAGTGCAAGTGAGAAGAGTGGGTCATGCAGTGGTTGGGTTTTTCTCTTGAGTTGCCTCCATTTAAAAAAATAAACTTATCAGTCCTGGCGTCTCAGATGCACTCCTCCCCAAGGTTTCATACAATTCAGGTCTGGGGACTAACTATTGCTATGTTGATTGGCCCATAAATATTTTGTCCTTACCTGTTTAATTACATTTAATTACAGATTTCACAATTTTATAGCTTTCTGCAGAGAGGTCATGATATATTTACCTGAGAAAGTTCCATTGGCATTTGGAGGAGAAATAACCCTGGATATGAGATGCTTATATTTCATTTAACACGATTAATCTTTAGTATTGGTAGGCAAAAAGTTTCATTTTAGGCTTATTAAACAAAAGAATACACAGTTCCAGTTAAAATTCCTGTAGAGGTTAAAAAACCCTCCATGTTTTCATCAAAATAATTTCTTTAAAAAGCACTCTAAAAACCAAAGTGTACAGGTAAATAAGAACAATAAGGAAAATCTAAATAATGCTAAAAATACAAAAGCAATAAGCAAAGTACAAGGTTGATAGTATAAGCAATAAAATCAGCAAAAGAAATAAAAAAGAAAACAAAGGTTGGCCAACTGGTCGTGCTATCTGGAATTAAAAGCCTGTTTAAGAAGTTGAGATTTTAAAAGAGGCTTACATTCATTTAACAATAAAGCTGATCTCACAGAAAGAGGGAGCCCTTTCTCTTTTGGTCAGAATTCAGAAATTGACTCTTTGGAACAACTAAAAGCTTCATTCTGGAGATTCTTAGAATCTTTCTGGAAAATGTCGCTTTAAATCCTGTTTAAGATAAAGAGATGTCAATCCAATTAGACATTTAAGACAGAAGAGTTCAGTGGCCAATAGCTGTGCTGCAGCCTTTCAGAAGGTCAGATTTACCACATAAAATCACCGTAGCATTGTTTTTCAGTTGGATAAAGAAAATGCAACTCAATCAATGATACCCATCGAACCTTTTTAAAAGCCTCTCCACTGACTGAATATTGAATTTAAAGGAATGTAGGAATGTACCTCAATGTTATCAGCATAAAATCGAACAACACGTTTTTGCAAAAATCCCTTCCTTCCATGAACCAAAGTACTCACACCACACTTTTAGGTTCCCAGAGGCAAAAATACTCTAAATAGACCCTGTTCTGGTAAAGAGGGTCTGCTTTAATTGAAAGTATTTAATCATAATAATCACCACTAGTTCTCATTGGAATTGTACATTATAAGGAAATTAGTCGTCTTTGTTTAACCTATCCGTTAGGGAGCAGTGACCAGCTTGCAGCTGCCTATTCTCTTGCTCACAGACACAGAGTGCAGTCTGAAATTATGCTGCAAAGCTATTTCAAAGACATACTGAACACAAACTCCACCATCCTCCAAAAATTAAGCAGCACGCTTGTTTTTGCCGCTCTTGCTGCTTTAGGTGTCAACGTAGCATAACAGTGGCTAGCTTCCAGCCATGGTGTCCTGAACCAGCACTAGGGGGGTCGATTCGTACGCGCATAGTGGGGAGGGACAAGCAGATGACCATGATTGACGTGTCAGGAACCAATCGTGTACAACGGGTCGTCTTTTATGATTGGTTGGGGTTATTCATTGATTTCTCACTGTAGCAGGGAGCATTTATTTTAGTTTCACTTCCAGACCTTCTATTTCACTGCTTGCTAAACGGCTGTGGGGAGATCTTTAAGCCACATGGT